CGATAGACTTGCCTCCACGTGGTACACCCTGGGCAACGTAAACTTATACGGCAAAAAGTCTATAAGCCAGAAGTTGACTACTGACTTCAAACTACCATGAACCTACTTTACGTCATATTCCACCACTTTCACAATACTCACCTTATCTTTTTCTCTACCTTTGTCTGTCTCTTTACATCTTTGAAACACTCTTCTGTTCCCCCTCCCCCCTCTCGACTTTTTTCACTTTGATGTTTCTTCCCCTCTGTGAAGCCAGAAGTCAACTAAAGGGCTAATGATAACTATCAATACACCTGCCAATTGGTATAAAACAAAATTGAAATAATATGGCTACTTAAGTAAAATAAATAGAATAATCCCATCGAATAACCGTACTTAGAACACTGTCGAGAGTCTTGTCCTCCCAGTAACTCATACTAACGTTGGGATCACTGTTTCTTTTTCTAACGGAAACATCTTCATCACTGCCAGTAGCTGGAGAGGGTGAAGACGATGCAGTATCAAGAGGAAAGGCTTGGGCCAAGAGACGAAGGCAGAGGTCGGTTGTGAGCAACTGGGTATAACATTGAAGTCGATTACACCAAACAGGTGCGGCTGATAATGAATGATCGACAAGTGCTTGCATAGCACGGCGAATCTAAACAAACAAAGCAGATGACTAAATTGAAGCCTAGTGAAATCTATGAGGTGGATTTGAAACAAACTAACTGGCAGAGTTGAGTCTAAAACAAGGAGTTTTCCACTTTCCGGTAGAACATCATAGCATGTTGAGTGACGGAAGAACATTGAACAGGCCGAATCTTCGTCTAAAGTCAAGAAAAAGAAATGTTAAGGCATTCAGAAATGCTCATTAAATTTCGCATTACTCACTAGGGATTCTTACCGAAATAGCGAAGATCTTTAGGTTTACCCGCTTCGTCATCGGGCTGAAAGTCGATTAAACAACATTTAAACACATTTTACATTGAGATTTCTTAGTTAACATACAACGATTTCAGCAGAGAATAGCGATCAGACAGCATTGAGGCTACGTGAATGTTCGGTGCAAAAAAGAGCAAACAGGACCAGTTTTCGGAAAGGGCATGACTCATCACAGCCCCCAAATATGGCTCAAATTTGTCTCACTTGTCTGATTTCACCTCCGCGCGCGCTTTGCACCGGTAATGGGTGAAAATAAACAGGCGCATAGCCAAGGAAGCAGTGAATATGATAGAGGTTGAATGAAGTAATAGAGGGAAGTAATATCATCCAAACTTCCAAATTTTATTTAAATCTAGATGAACGATTCGATTTACTAACGGAGGAATTTGAACCGGGAATACGAAAAGGCAAAAAAATGCAGAACCTTGAAGCTTAAACCCAAATCGTCGTTGACCGAATGGAACGATCACACTCAGTTTATGGAAGCGATGAGGCTCAAATTGGTTGATGCAGTCCTATTGAGAGCCTAGTTCCAAGGCCCAAAGAAAACCTTATATTGAAATTCGTGCATTTTCTAACAAAACGTTTACAGATTGCTACGTCAACCGATTAGTTGAAATAAATCAACTGTTATGTAGAACATACTTCTGCAGAATATGGAAAAAAACTACTTCTCAATGCAGAAATAAGGAGATTTTTCAAATGATTTTGAAATAGATCGAAATAAGTCAAATGGGGAGCATATGTTCTTCTCTTTCAAGTCAAGCATTGGCAAAACAATTAATCACCCGTATATCTAATTATTTTTAAAATCTACCTAAATCCTTTGCCAACAAAAAGCACTACTGTGGTCTGGGCTATAACATTGTGATGGAAAACACCAAATTGATGCACATATAATGACATTCAAATGGTATTTGATGAACTAAAAAAAACCACCCCATGTTCAAAGATGGGAGGTAGTTTTTTGCTCCATTAATGGCTTAACTCCACCCGAAGTCCTATACAGCCCCACAGACACTGACATATATCTTTAGTCAGCTGTAGATTGCAATAATAAACATAACTCAGTTGGTAATACGGCCACTTGCCATTCTGGCGCAGTGTTGTCTGATTTGCAGTCACATGCAAGCGTTCAACAACACACAACGAGCTAAAAATGCGCCAAAGAAATCAGCAGAAAGTTCCAAGATTTAATTTCGAAAGTGCCTAGTTCTAACTGCTTGAAGACCAAAATTGAGCAAAATTTAAAACTCATGAAATTGATTATCGAGGACTGTGTATTGTTGCGATAGTGGCTAGTAATGGAATATAACCGCATGATCGACTTAGCAGGCAATTCAAACGGTTCCCATAAAGACTCGATCCACAAGATGTTTGAAAAGAAACATCCGGTAAAGAGCTTCCGATATTCAAATGCTCTATATAACTTGCGAAATCATCCGCAAGTTATGAAGTATCGTAACCGGTGTTTGAGACAGACTATTACAGAAAAACGTTGTCGGATCGATGCAAAAGCAATCAGTCCCATTTACACTTTCAAAATAAGCTCCATTGGGTATTAGATTCGTAATAGAAAGCGTTGTAGCGGATTGCTACGCAAGTTATGTATATTGTTTTGTAGACTTGTAGCGGATTGCTCCCTAATTAAAGCCTGACCTGGTTAAAGACTTGTAGCGGATTGCTACCTTAGTAAAGCCAGACCGGTTGAGAATTGTAACGGATTGCTACCTTAGTAAAGCCTGACCGGATTGCATTGTAGCGGATTGCTACGCTAGTAAAGCCTGACCGAAAATCTCTATGGCAGATTCTCCGACATCTAGCTAGACTCCCAGAACAAGCTAAGCTATAGCCTAGCTATAAGGGAAACTCATCTAGCTAGACTCCCAGAACCAACTAAGCTATAGCCCACATCTAGCTAGACTCCCAGAACCAGCTAAGCTATACCCCAGCTACGCTAGACTCCCTGAACAAGCTAAGCTATAGCCCAGCTATAAGGGAAACGGACGTGTAGCACGGAATACGTTTATTTGACGTATATTGATAGGCGAATTGATTTGGCAAAGCGATTAGTTATCAGATAACTCTAGCATAATTCGAGTGAACATTAATAGCTAAATATTTCTGAGTAATATTCTATAGCAGGATTTCTATTTGGTCATTGATGGAGTGTCCCACAGCGTTATTGCCTTTTGAAAATGTCCAATACACCTATAGTCTTCGCCTGATACACCATCAAAACTCATCACGTCGGTGGAGTCGGTCTGTTGCAAGACTCATGTGAGTGCGATTGGGTGCATTTTTCAAATAAAAATATTTCAGGTTAAAAGAGTTCAGTAGGGAGAGGGGTATATTACTGGAAATTTAGTTTTTTTTCATTAATAGTGCACTAATATAAGCCTCTCCTTAATAGAAGGCATCCACTGACGCTTTCTAAGGTTAGAGCTGGCAGTATGTCTCGAGTCAAACTCTTGAGACTTATTTACATTTCAGAACTGATATCTTCACCTTCATTGGTGGAACACACCAAGTCCAAGCAAACCTTATGACGGTTTGTTTAATGAAATGAATTTCAAATCCTTCTCTCTTATTCAGCATGGGAATTGGCAGTATGTGACATTCAGATTTCACCAAAATAAGTTATTATTTCACCTGATCATGATCTTGACTCACAATAGCATAACTTCGCACTAGAAGCAGATATTAACAAACAAATTACGGGAAAATATCGCTTAATGCTTACTTCAAGACTAGTTACACTCGGGTCTGTCTGAATGAAGAGACAACATTTTAATCCACTTCAGTTGGTCCTATCGATTGTTCGCATATGTCTAGTGTGGCAGACATACGCATCACCACCGAACGCCATGACTAATCGCAATAATAATTTTACTGAATCACCCAACATTAAAGAAGAAACCTCTCATTGGTCGTTTATCTTGGCCAGACAAATGCAATTGTGTGTCCCAGTAAGCAGAGCAGGACACAAAATGGGCAATTAAATTAAACTACCAGGGCAATTATAAAGTCATCTTATAATGAGCGCTTATCATTTACGCCGACTTGGATCGTTTTGTTTTGATTAAATGATAGATTGTAGGAGAGACTCCAATATAGGAGGAAAATGGCGCTAATACCTCTGTAGCCGAAAGAAAAGGTTGGTATGATAATCATTATGTAAAAATATTTGCTAAGCCCACAGGGGGTAGAGGAGGTAGAAAACGAACAGGCTGTTGATTAATTTAAAAATCCATTACGGTACACCAAGTTAATGATCATATTAAACTACAAATATAGAATAAAGCAAGAAAGAGTTTCACTCCAGCTCTCCAGATCAGATTGTGTTTAGAGCAGTTGTCAAACCACCAAACCTCTTTATTTCCTTATTAATCTGGTGTTGAAAATGTTATGCACCTTGCATGTGGATTAGAATGAGATAAAAAATCGATTTGAATTTACAAAATAGGCATTTGACAAAGTGCAGAATTTTCTGAGAAAAACCACGTGGGAGGCCAGTGAACAACAAATACCAACGAAATCGATAGTCAAAAATGAATAAATAATAGTAAAGACTAGACTATCACTAAGCGTAAATCAACTTAGAAGCTAGTGAGTAATCAGTGCATCGGAAATCGATAACATTTAATCTACCCGTTAGTCATAATACAGTGTACGAATTGGCAAAGATACTACTTGCAACATTAAGCGTATCATAGAGTGAAATTATTTCAAGGAGCAATTACGTCCACTCCCCTTCGAAAATTTAAAATGAAATATATGCGCGCGTCCAGGGTCAACAATAATAACAATGGCGTCCATGCTTCTCTTTGTCTGTCAAAAAATGAAAAGCTAGTGTGTGCGCAAAGCACGCGGATGTGTATGTTAACTAACCCCCTACACCACCACCACCATCACAATTGGAGTACAAAGGAAGTAATTTAGTGGTTTTCTGACCAAGAGATGACAAACCGATGGGTGGAGATGTGAACACCAGTGGAATGGTACACCTATGAAGTGAATGATAATTGTCAGAATGAGAAGGATGAGTGAAATAAAGACATGATGAAAAGCGATAAAATAGGTAGGAGTGTAACTAGTGCTAGTAACCCCTGACAAAACGATATCATCATTCCTTACCACACATGTGGAAATGATGTCAAAAAATGTTCAAGGAAGGAGAGCGAGACCTGAAAAAGCTTGCAATCCAATGTTGAACTAAAGATTTTAAATATCCTTAGCACATTCTATCCCAGTGCCAAAGTAAGTGAACAAACTGCCAAAAAGCCCCATTTCAACGCATAAACGCAGATTCTCTGCATGATAAAAGGGACTATAACCGGAACTAAAGTAACGCACACCTAGAAAAATCTTAAAGATTATACCGAAACAAATTGACACAATAAACCTCACAAGAGACCCTTTCATCGATTCGTAAACAATTCCTAATCACCAAAATGATAGCAACAGAAAAATCGAAAGCGAATTTCAATCACAATTTGTCAACTAATGATAATTAATAGCAGCATTCATGTTTTAATCAATTAAGAATATCATTCAGCAAGTTCCTTACAAATAAGCGCCCAGATTAGTCGAGTGACAACGCTCTACACTTATATTAATTAATTTCTTCATAAAGATTGGTGCGTTAAAACTACGCTACCATGAATGGAATTCCATGCGCCCCCCCCCCCACACCCCAATACATGTGAGCTTCGTCTGTAACATTCTAGAACATTTATACAATTGCAAGTAAGACACCAACAACAATGAATAAAGAATATGAGCCCATAAAATGTAAATAAATCGAAACGTGCACCTCATTCGTGGTAAGCACCCTTCAAATGAGTACAAAGTTACACCCCCCCCCCCCCCAACACCACCACCACCACCACCAAAACACGTAGTTGATCGATTTAATTGGTAAGCAAATGCAAACATGAGTACTCTTCTGAGAAGAAATATGTAATCACTCCTATAGAAAATTAACCGGCCTATTGATTACGTTGGAATAAGGAGAAACATGATGATTCGAAGCCACGGAGGGCAAGAGGTTTAACATCAAATATCACTAATAGGAAATTTGTAGGTGGCATTTCGACATTTTAAAAAAAAGTGACAAGGAGTCTAGACTGAAGAAGAGAAGAAAAAAACGATCGCTCCAACTAGCATTCGCAACACACACTGCAATTTTTCTTCTAATTTAAATGCAGCCGCGGTATGCTTGCGATGGCATTTTCGCGGCTCTACGCCAAGCTCGAAAAGGCGGATTATGTGAGGACGGATTTCTAAGAAATGACCAAATATAATGAAGGTATTACAGACGATTCGTCGCTTCCAGTAACCTTAATCATTTTCTACTCCAAAAAATGCCCACTCAAATGTATAAGAGATGGAAAATACATGCAGAAGAAAGAACTAGAGTAACCTAATGACTTTAATCAGTTACCATTACCAGTTGAAGTACAAACCCCTTAATGCCGCTTGAAAAATCGAAGCAGAAATAAGCTGCGTCACATGTGTGTGTGGATGTGTGTGTGCCTATGGGGTAGTAATTACAAGTGCACGTTACTCGTGACAGGGAACACGTCATCGATTGTACCTATCTCAACCTACGATAATGATTTAATAATATGCATTGCCTTTATTAAAAATACACCTCTCACATATAGGCACAAAGACCAACACGAGTAAATCCTCTGTCAAGCCCAAAGTTTTCAGTAAAACCACAAAATGGTAGTTTTAACGTTGCCTTTTCTCCTCTAAATAGAAAAAAAGCCCCTACATATAAAACGAATCTCCAACTTTTACCACAGACTGGGGCATTATTCGCATCAGAGGAAACTAAAATTGTGATGATAGGAAGAGCCATATACCAGGAACGCGCAACTGCTATTAGTAAAAGAAATTAAACATGAAACGGAAGTGAAGAGTGGAAAGGCAGACCCTTCAGACTATTAAGAGAGGGACTCAGATGAGGGCTTCCTTCTGCGAGCGACTTGGAAGTGAATTAACTTTAGAAATACAATAGTACTGAAATAGGTTACAATTAGAAACCTGGTCTCCAGTCCAATTATAGAATAAGGAAGCTTATAACAGCCAAATACGGAACTCTAACCGCGGTATTAGTAAATAAAATAGGGAAGGTTTCAAGATTCAAAAAAAGAAAGGTAAAAATCATAAATGGATAAAAACAGTAAAATACTCATTTAAAAAGCCCGTCTGATTCAATATTAGGGCATATAGAAAGTGAAGAATAAATCTTCGATAAGAACTCCATTGACATACCTCATCAACTGATTTTCGGACGAAGAGAAGAGTGGAACTTTGTGCGGCTTCGAGAACTTGAATTGTACTCTTTGCATCATTCGATGAATTCCATTGATTTTGTCGCGCTGTAAGATAACAAGCCCCATAGTAAGATACCCCTGATCCCAATTGCTTGATATTTAAGTAGTATTAAAAAGAGAACCCACCTGAAAGAATGTCAACTGCGGACATGAGTTCACTCATAAGACCAAAGCAATTCATAGAATCCCTGTCTGGGCAACTGCGAGCGAAGTCTGCATCTGTAAACGAAGTAGGAGGGGATAGATAACCAATAATTCTCCTTCATCTATGTTGTAGAATTATTAAGGAAAAATATTACTGAAGTGAATTCTAGTACCCTGATGACTCTGTTAAAAATAAATGGTAATTTAAATAAGTATAAACTTAGCAACAAAACCCTTCCAGTCGATGAGGATTTAAGTTTCGTAAAACCAATTGGTCACTTTAAACTCATAATTTGTTAACAAATCTAAGTAATGGAAATATTGTGTGATAGACAAAACACTTAAATACATAGATATACATATATATAACATCACTTAAATGGGTAATGAAATTACAGATAAATTTGAAAATAAAAGAACAAAAAATAAAATTGATTTAAGCAAGTTCAGTAATTAGACTTCTCTTGACCAACTCCAATGACTATTCTTCAGGTTGTTAGTAAAATTGGATAACCCCAACCTCCAACGTTGTGATGATGTCAGTAAAAGATTAAATTAAGGAGCGCGTTCTCATTTTACTAGCATTGGGAAAAAACACAGTTGAAAAAAAGGATAAATGAAATTACATTCAAGAGACAGAGAGAGAGAGAACTGTAGGTTTGTGTATTCTCTTTGATGTATCCTACCACATCATACCACCGTCAAAAGAACGTCACATCATCACGATAACCCTCTTCTTCATTGAGAAGTTCAAGGGTCTAGAATTCATAATGAGACTTCAAGGTCATGGTTATAACTTCGAGTTACGAGCACTTTGAAAAATTCTGATAACATGAAAAGAATGAGATGCAATACATAATTATGTTATATAGAAAAATCGAAATAGAATCCAATGAGAAATAACTTGATTAAAGTTGGCTAGATTGTCACAAATGCGACACACAAAGCATTCGAATCAACCAAATTTTGCTTACGGAATAAGTTAGGTATAAAAACGAGGACATGCAAAAAAAACAATTGAAAGAAACTCCCTCCTTTCAAAATAAGCAAAAGTTACCACGATGCTGCAAAATTTAAACATGGTCAGTAAATATCCTTCAGAAACAAAACGTGGAAAATTTCCAATGGTAGAAACGTTTACCATCTTAGCGTAGGCGTATGAAAGGCGAAAACGGCTTTTTAGACCCAACTTTTAAGGCACTTATTAAGAACAAAGGACAAATTTTAGGTCATTAACCTCTATAACGGCTAAATATAGTTAGATAAGTTTGTGGCATTATTTGATAATTAGTTAAGGCAACGAACTGCGATTTATTTAGCCATGATTAAAAAGTATATACAATAACATCTGATTAAAAAAAATACCTGTGTCAAAGATCGAGTAAAATGAGTAAGGAAAGTTGTCGATGGTGGGTACAACTTACCGGTAAAATTTCATCAACCAAATAAAGAGAGCTTACTGCAACTGGGGGTTTTGAATTTAACATTTCGACGCATGGTGGTATTTTGCTACTAGACGTGATCAGCAGATAAGACACCAGGGTCCCCACGTGCGAGACAGAGAGAGTGCAAAGATGCCCCGTGTGTTTGTGTGTTTTATGGCGAAAAGCGAGGACACAGGTCCACTCTATACCTATACCTATATTCGCGCGAGTGCTTTTCATCGATGCAATGTGACAAGCCAATAGCGCGGCAGCTGTGTGTGCGGTATTGGTCACTGCAGTGCACTGATTGGCTAGCGCGGGTGGATGATAGGGAGGAGGGGTGGGGACAAGTTTATCGAAAATCGGGTTTTGGGAACCGGGAGATGTGATCTGAATTCGGCTTAAGGTTTTAGCAAGAGATTTTGCCAGCTAATTATTCGAGTTCGATTCGGTTTAGTTCTTATAATGAACTACTGAAATCACCCTAGAGCCATCTATAAGTAGCATGTAAGGAAGTTAATAGGAACGACCACCACACAGACCCAAATGCGAGTAATAAATAGCAAACAAATTAACCTGTCTTAAAAAATAATATATTACTGAATATAGATGAAGATGTTTACATGGCATTGAAGAATTGAAATATAAAGCTCAGCCTGGGTAAGAGTAAAGTGGCAATTAAATTACAGAAAGAACTTGGATCTCACGAAGAGCAAGATCAGACTATAAAAGAATTGCAATCACGTTATCTTACTTAACTGGCAACTTTGAAGTTATGCAATTGTCATCTTAACTTAAATCAAAAAATAATCAAGAGTCTATTATCTCGACAGATAGAGTGCTTGTAATACAGTGCCTTTCAATGAACAATGGCGAGGTTCTACGGATGCGACTGAAAAGGATCTTCAAAATAAAGACGATGCGAGTTATGGGCTTTTGTCCCCACATATAATGTTCGCAGATCGGACCATTTCAAGTGCACTACTGCCAAAAAAGGTATGAATTTCTATCTCCCGGAGCCTATTTGTCAAAAAATAACATGAACGAACAATCAATTCCGTCTGAATAAGAAGCGCCATTATACAGTCTTTTCGAGCGACTCAGGAATTTGAGTAGTCGAACAATTGATGTAAACGTCATGACTAAATGGTAAGAATTAACAATCACATGGAACTAGAGCACCTAAAATTAGTGGAATGAAATTTGCGTATGCAAGACGAGAAGGAAGAGGAAGCGAGACTCAGAAATAGACAAAAATGAAATTTAACCAAATCAGCTACTGCTGTCTGTGAAAATATAAATGCCGATTTAATTCCACAAATTTTAAAGTCATATTTCCAGATTAAACTTCCCAAGTCCACTGAGAGAAGTAATGGAAAGAAAGGAGAAGCTCGATTAGTCATTGGCCAAAATTCACCAGTTCGTTTGGCCAACTATACATTCGAGCGTATATAAATGACACCAATAGAGTAGACTACGATTTGCAAGACGTCATGAAATTTAAAATCTGTAGATTCAACTCACTCTGCACTCCAGATAGTCGATGTTGAATAATAATAAAGGAGACAATTTCACGATGAAAATACAAGTTTGTGAGCGGCGAAACTCGCTTAAAATGACAAACTTGTGATTGCTGTGGCGACAATTACAAAATCCACTCGAAAAAGAAGTGTCCAATGACTTCCTTCAGGCACACACATACAAAGGAAACGAGGGTGCAAAAGAAAAAAAACATTTTTCCGTCGTCAAATTCTGTTTTTTAATGGAAATGAGAAATACGAAATTCGCAGCTAATTTGTAGCATACGTATTGGTCGTCATTTTGGAACTCAGAGATTAAGGTACGGAAGATTTTTGAACACTTTATATGGGCACCCAACTTCTAGTAGTGCTTTCCAAAGTTCGTGTCTATAAATGAACCTTCCCAACTGCCATATTAACGATTTAACATGAAGCCAATCATCTCACTGCCAGATAACACGCCTCATGGATGTTCTGAACTCTGAGTGATTACATATCACGGTAGGAGTGATATATTTTTGCATTTTTTACAGTTTCCTTAACTGAATTGTATTTGTAACGCACATGTATGTTCATATCTCGGGGTGAGCAATAGATTTGCCTCCACATGGTGCACCCGGGCAACGTATACTCATACGGTAAAAAAAGTCTGTAACTCGGCCTGCCGTTTGAAATTAAAATTATATTCATATCTCTTTTCACACCTAAAGTTACAGTCGCTTAAAAAGAGCTCACATGTTAATACAAAGCCTATGGAATCATTATTTTCTTGAAAATATTAAGAAAAGGGTAAGCTATTTTTATTAATTATTCCATCCTACTGAAAATATTTCAGTAAAGTGAATTAACGTGTGCGTTATGAAAATAATTTCGGTGCGGACTTTTGAACAAAAAGCATCGAATGGATTTGTTTTTCTATAACTGCATATCGAAATTAAAATATTTTTTATTTCAGATTTAAATGTATCACCACTTTTGAAACGGATATAGCAACCTGAATAGGCACAAACTAACCACATGATCTACAACAGCATCACATGTGTTCAATACAAAAGTAAGAGAATGCCAATCTTCCGGATTCCTACTAAAATACTAAACTTTAGGTATCTGCCAAAAGCGATGTTGAAAGATTACCTATTTGAGCGTCAATTTTTTCTTTTACAATGACCCATGATTGTCGAACGATGCATCAATGAAGTATCCTACAGCGGTATTATCAAGATTCAAAAGATCATGAGACAATTATCGTCAAGATTTATATTCAACTCGAATGTAAGAAAGTCCGTGTGTCCTCAATCACTTTTCCTATTCTTAGTTTTCTCTGTTCCGAATAAGGAATTGGTCCGACTAATTGACAGTCTCTTCCATCTTTATTCAAAGTACAATCGCCTCTTTCTACACACTGTTAGAAATTTGATGTTGAAATCACTGAAAAATAAGCACTCTATGCCGGTATAACTTATTCCCTGATTGCATGTTTACGCGCCTCATTTTATGAACAAGACAGTAGTAATTAATATTGACGAAATAATTAAATTTAAACAATGAACACATGAGTGGCGGAATATCGCAAACCTAAGAACTCGTACGATAAATTTCAAGTGCATAAATCAATAATGAGAAAGCATTAAAACCATCGATTTTCCATATAGATTTAGACATACACCAATGAAAACTGAGAACAAAGATTTAATTTAATTAGGAGAAATGTATCGTAAAATTTTGTTAAAATTTATTTATTTCAAAATAAATAGAGAAAAGGAAAAGCAAAATGAGTGTTAATGAGCAAAAAGACCTCAATACATATTGATCGCAAAATGCCTGTGAAGTCAACAAAGAAACCAACATAGTTCTAACCTTGGAAGAAAAGAGATTTTAAAACTTTACCATAGAAATAGTGAATACGATGACCTTTCTTTAGAGAGAAGTTGGAAAAATGGCGATAAATGATAGTGGGAGGTGCTGAGCAAGGTTAGCTCGAGTTATGATAAAGAGGGGCTGTTGAGAGATTAGGGGCAGCTACGAAAGCAATCCGACTGATGTGACTAGAAAACAACAGAACAGACGATCTAACGTGATTGTGCTAGAACTGCTGACTTCCCCTAGTGCTCATACAAAAAAAAATCTGTGAAAATTGTCGGATAAAAGGCGAAGAAATTTCTAGGCGAAGTGAAACACCCTGTTGGAGCACAGTCTCATTCTCTTCCAATAAGAACAACGTGGACACTTCTTGAATCATAGAGGTCACATGCAATGCCTCTAACAGCATTTTTTAAGAAGTGACTTAATCTGGATTCAGGTTCCCAAGTAGAAATATTGGTCACTGTGGTTTTTAAGCCCTGAATAACAAAAGTAGAACATATGTATGGCGGTAGTAAGATTTAATCAACGGCCACACCTCGGGGAAAGGTAATAATCCAAAGGACTGTTAAGGTACACAATGAGCAGTACCGAACCAATAATTTAAAAGGCAATCGGCTAACGAATAGAATGAAAACAATTTGTGCAGACCCTTCCAAGGGCAAGTATAGGATTGCCTTGTTCCAAATCGTGAGAGGGGGATCAGTGGCCCCAGTTGGATTGGGGGAACTGAAAGGGGGTCATTTCGAGTAAAACAATGATACAATTGTGTCAGTGCCCTGCCCACTGAATTCATTTCAATGCAATTAAATTCATTATTTACCGATCCCTTTCTCTTTTCTTTTCTAATATAATGACCAAATTAATCCTGACCACTCAGTAGACGCTGCTGCAATTTTAGTTTCATTTAAATCATGACATAGAAAGACAGCCAACCTAACTCAATCTCATCAAATTCTTGCTTTCTTTTCTCCACGAGCGCGAGTGTGGTCTCACTATTTCCACACTAACAAAAGTGAGTAAAAAAGTAACATTCAAGACGCTTTTTTCAGATCTAAGAGCAAGCAAACACAGACCCCCCCCCCCAACTAAGTAGCATCAACAGCACGCAATGTTTAAGAATTGCACACAAATCCACACCCCAAAAGTCGAAAAAGACGCAAATATAATGACGGTTAAATGGTTAGATGATGCGAAAATGCGGAGCATAAGGAGACATGAACTTAGCAACCAGAGGAATGCGATAGAGAGAGAGGTGTTAGATGATGCGAAAAAAAAATTGATAAGCAGCCTACAAATTTAGGAATTGAAATGAAATGATAAGGAGACATGATTGAGAAGTGGAAACAATTAAGCAACGTCCATTCATCCTCATCCCTGCGTGCGCCACCGCCTGCATCTTATTCTCCCATGTGCCGCCTATAGCGTCATTTCATCAGTCATGAAAAAAAAAGAACTGTCGTTCATTGTGTTATACCCTACTTGAAATTGCATTAGCCTCGAAAAAAGCATGCAACTTCCAGAACTCAATAAGAAAAACACATAAAGCCCTTGAAGGTAGGAGATTTATATCAGAATTATGCAAGGGAACGACCCTACAATCAAGTAAATTTAAACAAATGCGCGAGTTGTGAAAATTACTCATTTAAAGAAACACATTAACAATCGAGGTGTACGACCTTTGGCCACTCGCTTAATACCTGTGCGTATAATTGGATTATTACATTAATTAATCGTAGAGCCGATTTCGATGCCACTGCTATTATCGTGATAAGCGAGACTTTTGGAAAATTTCGAAATAAAAGAGAACAGGAAGGAGTTTTGAGCAGTCATCTTTTCACATGTCTTCTACCTGTTTGGGCGCAACAATTAGTGATTGATTGTTCAGCTGGCCACTAATTAACCCATCCCAATATATTGTATTGTAACGTTTAATTAACCAATAACACGACCACTAACAGAGCCATGGTTTGTTAACAAAGCTGAGTTATCTCCAAACACTAGGTAGAGAAAATATTATTCCTTAAATGGTCTCCGGGTAGAAGAGGCAACTATAGGCAGAAATATTTCAGAAATCTCAGTGATGGTTGATAGGAAGGAGACTGATTCTTTAAAGAAACGAAATAAAGTTCCAAAAATAAGCAAATGCACTGATTTTTCGTATGTGAGTGTGAGTAAACGACCCCTTTTCAGCACATGTCGAGAGTACGCGTAAAAGAGAGAATGTTATATAAAAATCTTTTGAATTCATGACAATCAGATTTCTCAAAAGATGGAAATGCAGAAACCCGAATTCCAAAATTTACCCAACCACTTTCCCTCCTCGACAAGTTTACTAACCCTCCAGTAACTAGAACCCAAAGTCCTGTGTCATGCAATTGAAAATGCTCAATGCGCTCCCTTGTCAATTAAACACCCCTTAGATTGGATGGCATTTGCCTGAGGCGATATGATGGCTGCCTTCAAGGATAATAAAGACGAGTGCATAGTGCTTCGGATAGAATTATAAGAAAGAGCAAAATTTAGATTTAAGCTCCCACTAGAAGAGGTTAACTTTCTACTTTCTTCCTTTTTCCAACTCCATCCACTTTTTAAGTTTGAGAGAAAAAATTATGTGGCCTTATAACTATCTCTAAAGTGAACCATTTAAGATTCACCTTTCTTCTGTATGCACTGAAGAATCCAAGAAGAAACAAATTTACTTACTGTCAAGTAGATGCTAATCATGATAATACACGCTCTATTTGACATCGATAAAAAATGCTTAGACGCTACATGATTATTCAGAGAATAGGATTTTTCCAAACTATCCTGACGACAATAATTATTAGATATGACGATATGTAGATAAGAATGTCTCCATTCATATTCACGAATGTGAGGAAAGTAAATAAATAAATTCCCAATGCATTCTGAAGTGGAAAAGAAGTGGTAGATGCTTTGTTCATTAAATCATTGGAGAAATAATGAAAAAATTAAAATTTCTGACAAACTGCTCTTGCCAACTACTGTCAGTACATTGAGGGATGTATTCTAGCATTGAATAGTTTAATTTTAAACTTATTTAAACATTACCCTTCAGAGTAAATTTTTGGATGTTTTTACATATCCCTTTGATAAGAAATGCTCGCAAATCCGAAATAACCTATCGCAACCATTTTTACTAAATTAGGCGTTTATTTGGTTTGTGGGACACGTTATCGCTGTGTGCGTCATCGTATGCCTGCATGTCTGCTCGCCAGGATTGGGAGGTGCGGCCGTACAACTTTGTGTGCACCGACCGTACAAACAGTGGCCAATCATCAACCTCTGTTTAATCTAATCCCCCATCCTGATCATGAGTAGCTCCCTGCGTGCACACACTCTATGCGCAAGATACTCACCGAATAAACGTGCTCCGTGCTACACGTCTGTTTCCTTTATAGCTGGTCTATAGCTTAGCTGGTTCTGGGAGTCTAGCTAGATGTTGGAGAATCTGCCACAGTGATTTCTGAGTCGGTCAGGCTTTTCTAAGGTAGCAATCCGCTACAAGTTAAGTGAATACACACCAAATTTGCCATCTATTTAAACAATCTGCCCGTATTAAAATGTACACATCCTGTTGTAAATTTTAATACTAATAAAGACACAGAGAGACAAAGTTTATGGTGAAGATTAAGAAGGCTTTCTCGATTTGACAAAAAAATGCGATTTAAATTGAAATTCCGAAGTAAGACTGATTTTAAATACACTCTAGCCCCTAGTAAAAAAATAATTTTCCAGACACACATCCGTGTTATTCTGCACGCAGCAATGCCGGTTCCGGGGAGGGGGGGGGGGAGAACTCATTACAAAAGTACATTCTTTCAAAATAATACGATTAACACAAAATAATATATTTTGAATAAAAAACCGTTTTCTCCTTCTACGACACTAAATAATCGATACTCAATCACTATAAATGGGATTGATTGAAGCCAATTTATGTAAGCAATAAGGTTGGTCTGACGGGCAAGAGATTTTTAAAGCACCCCATTTGAGAGCACATTTAAATTTATGAGATTTAAACTTCGAAACTCACTAAAATCGAGTGGTGATAGAGAGGCGTTGATATCAATGCTGTGAGGGGAGTGTCCACTGAGCTGAAAAGAGCAGAAGGTAAAATCATGTTTAACTTGCATTCTCGCACAAACAAAAGAACTTGAGCCGTGCCTATCCCACTTTACACGCATATCGTTGGGGGATAAAAAGAAACTTACATTGATGGATGACAAACCAATGAGAATTTTACAGGTGGTTCAACAATGAAACTAACCATGACTTTACTCATTTGACCGGTAATCTCTTATTGGCGTGAATAATAGGAAAATTTCAATAGGCAAGTAATTAAAAAACGAAATCTCTAGAATCTGCAAAGCAAAGTCCTTTCTCTGCTTCGATACTATACAAATAAATAATAAATAAAAGCGGAAATTATTTTTATTAGCATTAGTTATTAAAAACGATTTCAATACAAACAACTTTCCCTATGAACGGAGAAATTAGCGATATGAAGAGTTGAGAATAATCGATATAAGAAATCAATTTTACAGGAAACTGAAGTAGGAAAACCAGTAGCCTTGACTGAACATATTCATAAGACCTTTGGTCTACGAAAACAAGACCCTTCACAAAACCACAGTGGCCTGATTCGAAAAGCGGTTTCTAGAACAAAATGGAGGGGGTTTTATGGAAATAGCACGTTAACGACAAAATGTATTTATCAATGAACCTCAACGAAGAACATTTTCCTTTCCTGTAGAATGGCAAAATAGGTGCACTAGGGGGGGGTACAAGTACTTCTTGCCAGCTTGATTGAAACAGATTAGATTAATTGCGGAAACGATAAAAACCAAGCGATACTTTAAAAGTGAAACATTTAAAAAAATCGACTTTATTGACAAGTGTGAAGTAAATTCACCTTTGAATAGGTAAGAAAAGCATTGTGTTCAGAAACATTCGTTCTCTCTACAAAAGATAAGGCAAATCGTCGCTTAAAAGCCAAAATTTCTTAAAACTGTTGCAACCGAGTGTGGAAAGGAAGACACATATACTATGACCACAATCTATTCGAACAGTTATGAAAGTTAAAAATGGCATTACTGTCTAGTGCCATTCCAGGTTCAGTTTAAAAAAATTAAAATCAGACAATGACAGTAAAATTATTTTACGAATAATAATTTAAGCTTCATAATAATAGATTGTAAACCACAGTGTCACTATCTAATTTTGTGTCAAAAAGTAAACATCGAGAAAAGATGCTAAATTGAGGCAACCAGAAGTTGATATAAAATAAAATGAAAATGATATTTATTTAAATAAAAATATATTATTCAATATGCTACATATTAGGGAAATAGTCCAAATTTTAGTTCTCACTCCATACATCTACTCCATCTTCCAGAACTAAAATGCTGGAATTCTTTTAAGCAGTTGACGCCACTTTTTATGGGCCACGAGAATTGTTAGACAGGCGCTCCTTCATATCGAAAACGCAAACGAATGAGATATTAAAAGTTATTTACTATTTTAGAAAGGCCCTAAGTCTTAAGCGGTCTGAAGAAAAACCAATTAAGCTATCTCGCATGACCTTATAAATATTTTTTGGGTGGCCGGAGGGGGGAGGGGGGGGGGAACAAGGGTATTTTCAAAAGTTCAAAAAAACAGCCGTCTTGTAATCGAACCACTTACTGCCTAGTTGTGTAAACATCTTATTATGCCCATCGATCGAAAAAAAGAGCTTGACTATATTGGAGGAAGTCTTAAATTGTGCCTACGAAGGAAATTGAAAATGGAAATAGTTTGAAATTTTGAATCGATTAAACTAAATTGGTCATTATGACATTTGAATTGTAATATCATATAGCTTGGTAACAAAATGTGCTCCAATATGCATCAAACTGACAGACATGACTAAAAAAATAAATACCTCTAAAACAATCAATAAAACCGATAGACAGGGTAAGTACTCACCCTTCTAGGCCGCTGTTTGGGTAAAAACTTGCTATTGTTGAGAATCGGTTTTCCAGAAAATTCCAGACGTTGTGAAGTGCAATTTTTTGCTTTCGGCATAAGATGAGGTGGTGTGAGCTCAAATCCTGGAGATATAGGTGTTGAACCGGATTCATCCATCGCTTCGGTTGTTGAGTTACTACTTCGTGAACGATCCTACAAAAAAAAGAATATAAAATCGATAAAGACGTCGATCAACTATGGAAAGATTACAGCTTTGGATACACGTTTTAGAGTTAATCGAACTCAAATGATCATTTATTTTGGGTCTACCTGCCATATGCAAATGGAAAAGTTGAAACTATCCAGGAATATAAATATATGCATGACCAAAATGCAACAATATTAGCCAAATATATTAGAGCATAAAAGCATAAATTTTATTAAAATTTCAACTTGTTCTATTAAAATTTCATTTTGACGCAAAATATTCATTACAACTATTAAATAAATTTTTGTCGAGTTGGTCAAAATTGAATAGGAATATAAATTAAACTGGTTTAAGCGAGTCAAACTGCTTTACATTTCTACCCTAACATCTGTAGGTCAATTATGACCTTATGACCTCGATCTTAAGGTAAGGAATTATGGGAAACACACTAAATATAAAGCAGTGAGTCTGGGGTGTGCGATAGACTTACTCCCACGTGGTGCACCATGGGCAACATTTACTCATACGGCAAAAAGTCTATAAACCGGCAGTTGACTTCTCACTTCAAATTACCATCACCCCACTATATGTCATATTTGACTACTTCCACAGTAATCACCTCACCTTTTTTTCTACCTTTGTGTCTATCTCTTTTCCAACCTTGAAACACTCTTCTATTCCTCCCCTCCCTCTCAACTCTTTTTCACTTTTGATGTTCCTTCCCCCCTGTGAAGCCTGAAGTCAACTAAAGGGCTAATGATAACTACCAAAACGCCTGCCAATTGATATAAATAATCTAATGAATGTAGTGAGTCTATCGAGAAGTTCACATTTCCACTCAAAAGTGAACGCGGTAATCTATTTTTCATCATTATGATTATAAAATGGGCATCAACCTAGCTTGGAGAGATCTTAACGAGAAGAATATTCGCTATTATTGACACAATAAGTCGGTGACACTTTCAAAAATACCAAAAGGTGAAAAAAGCATTAAGGGGAGGGGGGTGGGGTGTCCATAATGTATAAAAGAAGTCTGCGAAGGGCTTAAGGGAGGAATAGGAGCCTGATTTAGAGACAGACAGTTTTTTGCCCACAAATGTCGCCGTCAACATTTTAATTCTCGGCTTTAGTAACAACTTGGCGATAAAAAGGCTAAATGCTTTGCTAAAAAGACTAAAAAGCAAAGCACGACTACATATCACTCAGCTTTGTTACAGTGCCAACTAAATTCTCATTCTGTTCAATTAACCGGATTTCTGTGATGACTTCACGTGCACCATTGAAATTCCTATTCTTTGATTTAAATCTTTTAAACCAAAATTCCCATAGGCGGACTTCATAGACATGACCATAAATTTCAGTAATGAGCTTAGTAGTAGCCTTGTAGACGCGTTTAAGCCCTAATCAAAGGAAAGCGGTAAAAAATGTCTGAGGTGTTCTCCGTTGGCTTTGGGGTTGGACATTTCTAGCTTTGACAGTAAAGTGAATTGTATTGCTCATACATTGACCAATTTGTCTACACTAGGAAAATAAGCCAACATAGCTGTTTCCGTTACCATCTGGACTCAAACATCTGTTTGCAAAATAAACGATCTCTTATTGATAGTCCTAATGTGAGGACAACTTTGAGTCCGTCCCAAAACTTGGCAAAGTGACTTGGAGTAACATCACATCTGTCTCATCTGGTCCTCTTTGGGTCTGAGTTAAGTGGACAGAACAGTATGTGTGTGTGTGGTAGAAACAACGATGAAGAAGAGCCTTACTAACAGAAAAAATCGTAGAAATTACCTCTACTCCAAAAAATATGAAGAACTGTGTCACAATTCAAGAAATTATGTATTGGCTAAAATAGGGAGAAAAGCGGTAAGTGCCAGAGAGCGAGAATGAATGCAATACCACTCCATTTTTTCTTAAAACATAACTCTAAGGCCGAAACTGTCATCAAAATTGGGCTCTTCTAACAAAGTCACATAAAGGTAAATACTCACTCACTCACACACCCCTGTTGAGAGTATCGGAGATGAAAAACGGCATGTTGTGTCTTGCAACAATGGTGTCTGACTTACTTAAGCACCTTACTTTTTTTATCTCTAAATAAACGTTTGGACTTCGACAATTATGAAGTGGATCATTGCAGACGATTAGCCACAAGTCTTCGTTTGAAAAAAAATGTGCAAAGGCTAGGTGAGCAATATCCGATCAGGCCTTCTTTTTGAGTAAGCAGTACCAAAATGTGATTATGCAGGCTACCAGTAACCTCTTCTTCACAAAGTTACTGTAAAGCCTGAAACTACGGACCGATTAATGAGTTTTCAACCATTTTTGTCAACTTAATTAATATTCACGGTAGAAATTAGTTGAAAGGTAATCGTTTCGAACGCCTGAATACTTTTCCAATAGATAGTCAATTAAAATGGAAAGGAAGTGAGAATTGACTGTGACCTGAAATGAAAGTACAAAAGCCAGCGAAATACAAGCTGCTTTTACTTGAGTGAATTTATATCAAAATTAGGTGTTTTGTAGTTTCAGAAGGGGAGGGAAGAGGGAGGAACTCTGCATTGAGTGAAAACGCGATCTGGGGAAAGGTAGTCGAGCTATTTTTAAAGTCCGACTTAAGCAGAGGCAATTTATTTTGAAAAAAATTAACACACGTGACTTAAAAAAATAAACTCGGAAAGGACCGGCCGTCACTTGTGACATCGTAAAATTTGTTTCCTAAAGCGAGATATTCTGGAGATTAAAGTAGAGAAAGAAACGTGAAAAACACGAGAACTCATTCTTACCATGTTTTATCGATAGATGGAGAAAAAAGTAATGCGATTAGCAACTAAAGAAGAGGAAATAAAAAGGAGGATGTTTTGCAAGTAAATTTGACCAAAATTAGACGGAATATAATGAAATCGGAGGGGGAACTACGAGGAAGGGCATAAGCAATAGTGTGAATGCCTTTGGATTTCCGAAATTATTATTTGACCACCAGCAAAACGAGGTGCACCTGATGTGAAAGAATCTGATCTGAACGTCTATTCTAAATGGGCGGGGTGCTAGCGATTGTTAAATCAGATACGCCGTTTAAAAGTTATCTACGGTATTTTGGTGTCAGATTGGAAATTTGAACCTCTGAAATTAATCGTTAACTAAGTTTAATTCAATGCGAAAATTTACAGACGATAAGTTAAAAGTTGGTGAGTCACCCCACTGCTACTTTATTGGTCAAAACCCAAAGAGAATTCTTGAGGAAGCAATTAATTATCGATTGGGAGAGACGCAAAGCATATACTTGGAATAGTGTGAATTGAGTGATTTATTTTAATGAACTAATATCCACAACACCAAAGTAGTCTAAAATGTGAATTGCCCATAAAGGCGGAGAACATTCATTCTTAGAAGCACACTTTTTGCTAATCAAACGAACCAAAATGACTTCAATTATCTTATTTCTAAATGTCTCAAATATACGGAATCGGTCGGTAAGCAGACAACTCTGAAATAGACAGATTGACGGTCTGAATGAAAAGCAGGCAATTGTCAGCATTATCTCTTCCGTCTTAGCTGAGTAATGAGAAAATTTGCTATTCTGTGAACCCAGTTCCCAGCAAAATTTACGATCTGAGGGTTATAGACTCGCTTGTCCAGCTAAGTGAAGTGTTTACCAACTTCATGAACAAAAAGGATTATTAAACAAAGGGAGACAAAAAGGTGTTTATCCCAAAACCGGTGCAAGAGAAAGTATGATGGCTGTTTATATTCGTTTCGCGATTAAACAGAAGAGGTGTATGAAAAAGGATATAGATGTATTGCCAAGGTGTAAAATTCTTGGCAAAAAGTAGAGGGCTTTCCTTAGCACTTTGTAACATCTCGATCGTTAAGGATGTCTTTGACAGGGGGCATAGAGCGTCTGGACTTGGAATATTGATCTTTTGTAAGTCATACTTGTTAATTACCTCTGCCATAACAAAACGATGTTTGTTTAAAAGTTAACACAAGGCTAGCAAGACACAAGAAGACAATAATTAAAATGAGCCTAATGGGAAAACTGATCGAATTAGAGGAAGCGAGAAAGATGAGGTACAGCTTGGACTGAACCTATGCGCCAAAAAGGAAGGAATTTTAGTGCATTCTAGAGGCCACCATTTTTTACTTTGATTAGATGTCCCAGTTAAAGGATATGGACCAATGGAATTATTCCCCATATGCCTTGGCAACTAAGACACATAGTAAAACGAATGTTGAAAAACAATAATTCGTCCTTCAAGGAACCAACTATCTCAAAAGACACCTTAAGAAATCCAGTAATTTTAAATTGTTCTTCAGAAAGCTTAATCGAGAGCAATGAATAGGATGAAAAACGACAGCATTTGGTCGAAGCAGGCAGTCAACGTCATTATTTTGAAAAAACTCGATCAAACTCTATTTCCATCAATATAAAACCTAAACGTGATCTAGCTGTTTTTCAGTGTGTTTGGGAAAATAAGGAAAATCAAATTTGTAAGAACGCTATAAAGGGATGAAAGATTTTAAGGCTGAAAAAAACACTCAAATAATGTATGTAATAATAACTACTAAGATCATAAATGGCGTCCAACAACTACCAATGCACAACAGTTAGCTCAAATGAGGCTACCTAACCGGAATAATATAAAAAGAAAAATTGCGTCAAATGCAAGTTATATTTAAACAAAAATAACAAAAGGGGAAAGAGTGGGAAATTACCATCATGAGACGTTGGTGGGAGCAGATAAATTCCGCTTGAATGAGAGAAATCAAATTTGTGAAATAAGAAATCCACTGGGAGAGAGAAAAACAAGATGGGACCCGTGACTAACCAAAATATGACCCTCCACGGGCCTATGTACACATGAGAGACAGTTAACCAATCAGATGAGAGGACAGTGTTTATTGGTTGGTAGAATCAACCTATGGGAATTGAGATTACACGATGTAGTGAGGGCACGGACAAGTTGAAATGAACGAAGTGTCCAGTTTAAGGACATCGGCGTAAATG